GGACGGCAATTTTCCAACATCATGGTGATGGAAAGGCTAGAGGAATTGGCAACAGGGTTCCTCGCCTTCCGCTTCTTCCCCTGTGACGGAGTCCAACTAGCAGCATCAGCTGATTATCTACCATGCACGCATAATCTTCTTTCTCGAAGTTGCTCCTCGAGAGTAGGACGTTGAGAATTAAAGGCAATACTTAAGTCGTCCTCCCCTAACTCACTAAGTCGTGCTCATCTCCCAAGATCTATAAGAGGAAGCGTTCCCCATTGGCCTAGCCGAACATGGAACTGAGTAGCTCCCTGATCACCGATGACTGGCCTGAGTAGTCCTCATCCTTGTTGTCGCCATCGTGGTCAATTCCGCCCCACTCCCATGTCCCCTCCCCTGCTTAGCAGGTTTGGTACTGCGCGACGTTGTGGGCGTGGTATGTCTGATGAGGACGATGACACAGGCAGCGGACTGGTATGTCGCTTTGAGGAGGAGGCAGATGACAATCTCGAAGGAGGAGATGGACAATATCGCGCTGTGACGGAGGAGGAACGGCGGGGCGGGTGGCTTGTGGGTAACATGGACAACTGCTTGTTTGCCGAGGTTCTTTGCGGCTTCCCTGTGTAGAGTGCCACATCTAGTTATTGCTTGCAGCTGGGCATTGTGAAGTTAGCGTTTGAAATGACTTCAAATCGGCCGCGGCATGCGATTATTGGTGTCAGGAATATCTTGGAGTGATGTCTGTGGCAGAAAAGTCGTCGTTCTAAGAGTCGGTACTTGGCGTCAACTTAAAGGGAAACATTTTTTTAACCTAGACACACTGTAATGGCTGGTGCTAGACGATAAGGACTTGTTTAGCTTTAGCAAAGCTTGCGCTTTGAGGACGAGTTGTCTGGCGTTGACTGCTGTGGCTTGTTATGCCTGCGAAAAAACACATAAAAAGCCACACTGACCCACTCTTTTCATTTGCCTATGGCTTCTCCCCCCCTCCCTCTTTTTCGTCCCTTTTTTCCCGCAACCATAACAATAACAATCTAACCTCTAGCATAGATTAGTTTGATAAACCTGCAGCTCTTCCTTAACCTTCTAGACATGAAACCTTGGTATCTGGTACTGCATGGTACATGGGAAATTTTTAATCCTGCCTCAGACCTGCGGGCCAATTACTCTCTACACAAGGCCGTGATTTTAATTAACAGACAGTGGTAGTGCCGCCTCATCATTAGACTTGTTGAAAATCTGACTTGGGATGCTTTAGCTTGGTTCTTGCCCCTCTATCCTTTACTTCCTTCCGGAGAGTTGGCGTTCCTTGTATGCTTTTTGAAGTGTGCTATCCTAAAACTTGCCACAGTTAGCGGCTCAAACTGCGAAACATGTTCTTCGTTTCATAACGCGGGAGGATCAGGCAAGGCATCTTATACAACCCAGTCTAGGGAAAGACTATAGCTCTCGAGCTTAGAGGACAACAGGTACGATTTTAGGAGGCAGAAGATGCAAAACACCCCCCGGTTAGTACTAGATACCTCAAGAGGAAGGGGCCGTTATAGTGGAGGCCCCGCTGGTTTCTACGACGAACAAGAGGCGAGGTTAAGACAAAGCCTCTTGAATGGTAAAACTTCAAGGGAAGGATTACTTGAAGTTGGCATAAACGTATATGCAAAACAGCATCAATGCAATGGCAAACTACAACATGTTGCGCTCTACCAGCTTGAATATGCGAGAGGTAGCGAATGCGATAGCATCTGCAGCCCACGGGGCAGGAAGGTCACGAAGGTGCTTGAGAAGGCAAGGGAGGGGAGAGGCACTGGGCTGGATTGGGCTGAGAGATAATGAGAAGTCATTGCATTTTCTTGTTGTGGAATAACCCCTGACAAACACAATGTTATATCGTTGGCGTTGTTGTTCTTTAAGAATAGCCATCTCCGCCAGTTGAGTTTGTGGCTGATGAGTTGCAAGATCAAATCGTCCGAGACTGTCTTTTATCGTTCTCTCGACCTTGATGTCTGTGTCTGAGGTCTGTATGATACAAATCTTCTGTTTCTATGAACGATCAAGCATAACACTCCCCCGGATCTCCGGAAAACCTACCCTTGGCTTATAGAACAACCTCACGGCTAGGTGATCTGCCCTTATCGGCTGTTTCGAGTGCTTGACTTGATAAGTAGTTAAGAATATTTCCATGCGGAGGATGAGGAGGATGAGGAGGAGAAGGAGGAGAAGGTGTGGCAATAATTTGCCTATGTCGAATGCTGTAGCTACTGCTAACCAAGCTTAAGGCTTTACGATGCACATGATTCTTAATATTCCCTACCTTGGCATGGGCGCTGTTGAGAGGAACAACATCCACATGCATAACCTGAGCGACGTGCTGGTAGAAGATGAACTCTCTAAAGGCAGACTTCTCCGTTCTCACGAGAGGCTTTGGTCGACGGGACCTCAATGGGATCTAAGTTATCGAAGCCAATGCATGTTGTATCCCAGCCGCTTGTTGATAACAGACAAACCAAGGACAATGAGCAACATCTGGCCTTTGTCGAGAAAATCGACTTGAATATGGCACGGGTACGAATTTGGGATGTTTGGCTCGTGCTAGATGTGCCATGTAATATGCGTCCATTCCTAGAAGCATTCCTCGACTCGTAACTTGGCATCCTTCGTGGCAGTCTTAGTGTGTCGTCCATTATTACCACTTCGTCACAGGCTCACAGTTTGACCGAGTGTCGTCGATGTAAAGACGCAGGACTGAACAGGCTATGGCGCTGGCCGAGTTCGACGAGGCAGTGTAAGCGGTTTAGGAGATTTTGAAGCAGGATTGCACCTGCATCATGCGGCGTAGTAGCACTATCGCTGGACTGGCACGCTTCGGTGCAGCAGGGAGCTAGTTCGCGTAGCCAACTCCGGCTTCAGGGATAGCCCTAAATCGGAGGAAAGACTGCGGACGCTGTCTGCCTATCCGCTAATTATAGCTCAAGAACTCGACTCGACCGTTGAGGCCACTGCCACGCCGTCGGGCATTCCCGCGAGGCAGTCCCTCTAGAGTCAGAGTTTGTCCGGCATCGAAAGCCTCATGTTTTAAGGCATGTGAAAGACGAGGAATATAGTCGTTCTTGGTTCTCATCAAGAGTGCCTTTGGGATGTCAAGCAGATAAGGGAATATCAGACAGAATCAAGCTATTGTATACGGAGAAGCGGTAAGCCAGGTGTCACGCTAGGCTTGGAAGACAATGTACGCACCAAAATCACAGACAGCTCAGATGTCTTGTGTTGGCACATCAAGTTAAGTGAATTTGTTGTCAAATGTCCTGCTCGACTTTTGAGTCGGCCGCGGATATTCCGTTATAGATAACACACCCTTGTGCTTTCCAAACAGCCAGTGCCGGGGAATATGGAAATATCCCGCCCAGGGAGTCCTGCTAATGTGCTGCCTAACAGCTGCAGAATACATCCAATGATTCGATCCTAAACTCCCTCTTCTTCAACACCAAGAAGAACCTCAATCTGACACCTAACAGCCAATAGGCGCGGTTTTCTAAAGCTGCCACCGCAATCTCTGAACTCCGCATGTCGCTGTAAGCTGGCTAGGTCCCTCTCGCTGACCGCCAAGTAATTACCTAACATATGGAGCTTATCTAGCCTGGCATAAACTCCCACTGCCATTCACGCACCAGGTGGTAGTACTCCCCCTAGTCTTTTACAATTGATCGCTCCTAGCACAGCTCATCATAAATACGTGTAGACTATGAAGCCGTTCTCCTCAATCTGTCTCCTCGGTCCACGAGGACGCCTGCCGTCTGGTGCCGGACACATTTCGCGGAGCTCGACGTTGTGGAGACAACGCCCTGGCCAGCAAGACAAACTCTGTCCTAGCTAGTCCGTCCCAGCAACACGGACAGTTGGTCTCGTCGGCTCAGCACTAGGCGTGACACTCAGATAGCTTTGACACAGACCGCAACTCCAGACAAGCAGGGAGCTAGGACAAAAGGTGTGCCCATGTGAAAATGCACATGCTCTGTGAGGTTATCTAGGTACATATATAATTGGTCAACCGACCAATAGCTCTGAAGCTACCATAGGGTGGGCTGATGAGGGAGAGGAAATCATGTCCCCCCTTTCCAACCCCGTAGCCAAGGGAAGACTAGCGGCATCAGCGGTAGTATAAGCCTCAGTAGATACAAGGGTGGCAACTTCAGTTATGCTGGCAACTCGAGCATCTAACAAGCTATAGAGTCGGATGATAGCGCGGATACACTAAGCCAAAGCCAAGTTCGACGTCGGAGTCGTCGACGAGCTGTATAGCAGCGAATCAGGCATTCACGAAGACAAGCTCAGGAGGTTTGTGGAGAGCTGTTGCGGGGAGGGCCGCTATGTGCAGGAGGGGTCAAGAACCAGACCACCAACCTTGTCTAGTCCTTGGACATCAACCAGCCTTGAGCTAAAAATAGCCTATTCCTCTTAGACCAGGAAGATTAGGGTGAATGAAGCCTATGCCACGTGAAGTGTGTTAAGCAAACTCGCACATCACACCAAGAGGCCTTTCGAAACAACGTCATCAACGGCATCACGGGCTACAACAAAACCAAAGGCATTGGCAACCCCCTGCGGCGAGTCTAGATTATCACCTCATCTCGCATGTCCCGCAAGCTCCTCATGACGATGCACCAGGAGACGGTCTTCTCATCAACTCGGTCGACCAGCCAAGTTTAGAGGGGAACTACCGAGTTCTGCAGCTAGAATAGGCATACGAGCCCCTCGACGTGGCCAGGGTGGTGGCTTGGGGGAAGGATGTTGGGAATGGTTGCCTCCCTCTAAACTCGGAGATTCACGACAAACAATGGACCACATTCCCTCCAATCCCTATTCCAATTTCAACGGGTTGCGGAGGCACTGGTATAGCATGAGTGCATAGCCAAGCTGGGTGCCCGGGTTAATGGGAAGATAAAGGCGGAGGAGGAGGAGCAATTTTGGTCTGAAAACATCTCATCCAACTTCATTTACCGTCTCGAGAGCGGGCCGCGCCAATGGAACCGCTGCGCCACTTTGCCCTTGCTGTCTGGATAAGCGAGTGGTTCGACTTTCCTCCAAGCCCGGTCCGCCCCTTCGGAACTGTCGCCACCGCCTCCGGAGCCACTATCGGTCCCCGGATTTCACTTGCGCCGCCAAACGAGCGCCGCGCCGATTGGCCGCATTTGCGCTGTTCAGACCGCCCAGGCCGGCGCCCTCGCTTTGGAGATTTGGATGGAAGTAAGCCTTATACGAGACTGGTTGCGTCGTCACGTCTTCCTAACCTTTGTCTTCGTAGAGCACACGGCCAAGTGGGATCTTCTCTGGAGCTCTAAAGCATGGTTGGGCTGGTGGAGCTGCGTGCTGCTATACGCGTGGGTCTCCAGCTTCATGATTGTGCTGTAGGTTGTCATGTTCGTGTTCATTCTGCCAAAGTTGCGCTTTATTGGGAGAATCATCACTTAAAATAACCTACTCCTAGGGCCGGGCATGTTTAGAAACGTCATTATCCTCTTCTCTCGTAAAATTAAACCAGGCTTGCGTATCACCATCGCTGCCGCCGCCATCGTTCTGTTGGCGGGGAGAAGAGAAAGCCACAAAGCGGGAGGAGAAGTGCCACCCATACCAACAGCACCAATGGCGAGCCGAACGGGAACAAGCCTTTAAAAAGATAAACTTCCGCACGGTCGCGGGGGCGGTCGCGGTAGAAGCGTGGCGGCTACGCGGGCGGCCCGGGTCTCGAGCGGGCGGCAAAAGGGGCGGCGGGCGGGGACGACATCCTTCATTTCTCGAACCGGTGGTCTTGCCGCCAAAGACGAGTTGGAAGTGTCCTGGGCCTCTCTCTTAGGGCCCCAGGACTTCCACCGAAACCGGCGGATATTCTGGTTTGTGGTAGCTTCGCAGAGTTTGTCTTTTTCCTCTACACAAAATGACAGCAATAGCCATAGCATCAGCGGCAGTGTAGATACGGTGCGTAAATACATCACAGAGACCCGACCCCTATTTCTGTGGCTGCCTGGAAGAGATGTGCTGTTGGAAGGGAGGCTTCTTGGGTTGGTGAGAAGGCCCGATTGTCCTTCGTCAGTTATTGTGACTAGCCGTAGCAGCCGCGTGTCTTTCGATAGGCTCGATCAAAGTCTACAATACTGATTGGATATGACTGGTAATTACCTACAGGGAGACGAATGAAACAAGTGAAGTTTGCCAGTCTAGCCGCGTATTTGGGAGGGAACGGCCTGACCCTTCGTTCATGGAGGATGCCCTTTCTGGGACAGGTAGAATTACGCAGCCGTGGGAGCGAAGAGTAAGGCGACGGCGGACTGACCGGGCACGTTGGGACGGGCTGTTACATCGACTAGCAAGAGCTGTGAGACAACCAACTTCAACAGCTCTCGACAAGAGCTTGCAGATCATAGTTCGACACTGTCAAGGCAGTGAAGGACCAACTCCGAGATACCGCTTGGCATGCCAATCTAAGATAAATGGCGAACAGTTCAGCATTCGCAAGCACACAGACCAAAAGCAGAACACACCCACCATCAGCGTCTAGCTCCAGCGCCCAACCACCACCACCCGCTCCCCAGGCCCGGCCTCGCGCTGCTTCCTGACATGAGAAGGCTGGCGAGGACGAGGGCAATGTCCGCGAGCCATGAAGGCGTTGCCGAAGCTGAGGCACCGGCTCCTCCCAGATAAGACAGCCACCAGGGAAGTTTACGGTTCTACCCATGGAATGCACATCATTGTTCTTGCAAACAACCCATTTAATGGTTAGCGACTGCTAAAATACCATGATAACTCTCCGGGGATGGCCAAACCGTTGTTTAAAAGCCAGGATATTGCTATTCTAGAGGGCGTGGTGGAGGAGGATCTGCATCTATGTCTAGGTGGGAGACGGATGATTGCACCAGAATCACCACACTGGAATTGACTGAAGAGGTATCAAGAGCCATGACAGCTTGTGAGCAAGACGTGTCAACCGCCGAGTCCTGCACTGAAATGGCAAAGCCAATAATAGAAGCGCGACCTTGGGCTGCGGCTGGCATGGGCACCTTGAGGAGGATAATGTTGGCGTCGTTGTTGCGGTGTCTTGTCATGGCGCACCACTAGGCCGCCATGCGAGCCGTGCCGGTGGCTTCTTTTCTCTAGCATTCTTCTCCTTGACAGCATGCAATACTGTCTGCCTCGATCCATCGCCAAGCCATGGTATCAGCCAATCACCTGCCACAGGGCGAGGTGATGCGGCTGGTTCCGAGTTGTAATATGTCGACAAGCCTTGATGACAGGGGAGCTACAAGATGATCTGCTGATAATAACCTTGTTGTATAGAGACGGCTAGATGGACGGCTTATCGAGACTAGAGATTCGCACGGGAAAAGAGGTGGCGTGCGAGACTGACGATCATCTGTGGAAGAAGTCTAACACGGCGGCGCTAGAGAGCGACAAGCCAAACGACATTGTAATTGGAAAAAACCGTGGGGTTATCGGAAGACAAGAGAAGCAAGAATAGTAACCCAGCCCGTGCGTCCTATTCTTATTCTAGGGGGGTTTAGGGAGAGTGAGGCGCCTCCTAGTGATGAGGAACACTAACGTCAAGTAGATTCTTGCGCCCTGTTGAGGATTAACCCTGTTGGTAAGGCCTAGTATTAGCAATACCGTTAGTATGGGCAGTACCGACAGTACCGACGGTATCGGCGGTACCATTAGGACCGTCAGTATTGCAGCCAGTATCGGCAGCCAGTCTTGTTAGTATTGTCAATATCGTCTGTATTAGTATTGGAGCTATATTTGTTACAGGTCAACGGACCTGGGCTAATTGGATCCGGGGCACCCCACGCTTAGGGCCCGGGAAGGCCGGTGAATCGGTGGCTGAAGTGATCGGCTGGGTCCGAAGGGGTTCCCGCGTGGTCTCGCGAAGGTACTGCAGAGCAGCCCTGATTTAAGAGCCCGATGGTCTACCCGAACGTTTACGAGGGCAGGCTTCAATAGAAGTTTTGACTGCGAGAATCCTTGCGACAATTCCGTGCCCGATTTCTTAGTGATTCTGTCCTGACGACACTCTCAGTCGGAACCCGTGCCAATTAGCCACCTCGTATAAGTCAGTTAGACTGATCACCGCCGTGCCTCCGTCCCGCTGCCTACCTAGGTCTTGCCAACCTGTTACAATATTTGACAAAGTCATATTCCACATAGCTTCTCTATGCCTATACCTAACATAGCTATACCAGCTATATCAACATAGCTATATCTGCTTCACGATAGTTATATCAGTCTTAGCATAGCTATATAGGTCTTGGTATGGCTATATCAACTTTGCTATAGCTTGGTATAGCCAGATCAATCTTGGTATAGTTATATTAACCTTGGTATAACTATATCACATCTGATATAGCCATATCTACATGATCATATCTATATAACCCAAGTGCGTGTGGCGCACATGCCTTTTTATGTGCTTGTGCGCCACAGTTGAGGCGGCTGGTGCGACTCACCGATTAACTCTATGTGTAACTCTAGCTGACAAGAGCAGCTTGCGTTCCTTCTCAATTACCGGTGCCAACGCAGGAATTTGTCGGCGAGGGAAGCTCAAGGAGATCGAGAGGTCGCACAGCAATCGCGGCTCTGGCTGGTGGCTTAATCTGCGTGAAGCAGCCTTCGTGGGAGGAATTGTCATCGTAGTATCGGCAACGGCAGGCGCTGTGCTCGACTCTGGTGATGTCAAGGCCTGCCACTCGGGGTTGGTACTTTCGCAAACTGCTCCCAGCGTCAAGAGGCATGCCTAGCACTTCACAACAGCATCCATGCCTAGCACTTCACAACAGCATCGTCCGCCCGCCGTGGCGGATGCAGTCAGAAGCCATGCCCATCATCTACAGCTCTTAAAGAACCAGACAGCACCATTATGTATTCCAGGGGGGGTATTCCAGAGGGAGATGCAGGAGAAGGACGCCTTCTGCAAGCTCCTTATCAAGATGTCCCCTAAGATCTAAGACAGCCTGTGGAGCAACCTGGCCGAGGTGTGCGAGAGGTCCGCGACATCTACATAGGCTGCTGCGTCCTCCAGGTCAAGCCCGATGGGACAGACCTAGAGCGCATGGCTCTCCCACTGTGGACGAGCTTCCAGTCGCTTAACCTCATCGCGTGGTGGCTGTGACTGACATCTGCGCCACCACGACGCCGCAATGAGGCAAATGGTGCATTAGTTACGTCGTCAATGACGCGTCCCTGACTGGGAAGCTTGACCTGTATGATCGAGATGCCGCAGCTTGTCCGTGGCACCGGTGTTACCAGTTGAGCAGCAGGGCCAATATACGCAACAGTAGATTGGACCAGAGTGACGAAAGGCGACCAAGTTTTTAGCCGCGGTCCGGCAGTGATATCTTTTTTTCCCCAGGGCCGAGAGAGGTCGCTGATGGGGCAGGAATGGAGCTCGACGTTGGATCTCCAAGCTTCATCCTATCCTCGACGTTGGATGCAGGAAAGGATGGCGATACCCGTTGCAATTTTCTGTCAAGCTTGACTGTAGCTCACTCATTGCCATCTTGAGACTCCTGGGCGGCGGGGTGTGCCGGAAGCCCACCTCCCCCCGTTTGGGATCTCGTTGTTGCCCTCTGCCTTCGGCTTCTGGACTGCGTACATCTCTGCTCCCACAATTCCGGTTCTGCCCGAGTTACAAAAGGGTTTCTGGTCCTTAGATATCCTCGCAGGGTCCTTCCCAAAGAGGGTACCTGCATCCACCAGCCTAGCCTGCCCCAGACCTCCGGTGAGTTCTGTTGGGATCCGAGTCTCGACAGAGGAGCAGCGGCGGCGGTAGCCTTTCTTCTCGGCACAAACGTACTTCCACAGCCCCATCTCCGCAACATAATCCGGACCATCTCGGAGACACATCGTCGGGAGGGACTTGGAGGCACCTAGTCTGGGCCCAATGCACGGGTAGGCCATAGCCTTGGCTAGTGAGCACATGCTCTGCGCTTCAAGGCCATGAGACGCTGCGCGTGAGAATTAAGATCTTGGGCAACTCGATGCCGAGATCGACTCGGCCTTTGTGAGCTATACCATGGACGTCCTAGGCAAGGGCATCAATTCACTCCAGCTATGCAAAGGAGACAATCAAGGCCTCCTCAAGGCATGGGGTTGTTGCGGTTAGGCCTGGGGTGCTTGAGCATCAAGTGTCAAGGCGTGCCTTGTCGGAGTTTCCAGCTTCTATCCCTGGATGGTCTGTGTACCTGAGGGGATCTGTCACCTGTTTCACATAAGCCACCCTCTAGATGAAGAAATGGATGTATTCTTTGGCCTTCGTCGGAAGCTCGTGTCTCTGGGCATTGCCCCCCATCTCCAAGCCGATGGGCACCACTTCCTGCCACTGCAGATCCAATAGCCTTGCTATGGCTTTCTGGGTGCGATCGGGGTCGGACCGGCACACAGAGCGGCGATGTCGGTCGGTTAGGCCCATTCTTGGCGCGCTGAGGCTGGCAGTCAGCTCGACGAGCAACCACGGGGCCACGGCGCGAACCAACGCCGAGGCCACTTATCACAGAAAGCCTTCTTCCTCAGTCATGGCAATGTATACAACCGCTTTACCCTGGACCTTGCCCGATGTGATGGAGGAAGCAGAGCAGCGTCGAGGTCAGTCGGTGATGTTTTCCGTGACTTCTTCGCCAGGATCTGCCCGCTTGTTCCTGCACCTGGACGCGGCTCATTTGATGCGTTGGAACAAGAGCTGGGGCTGGCTGAGCAAGCAGAGCAATGTCGCGAGCCTGTTCCGGGAGCCTTTCTTGATAACATGACAAGCCTTGACAGGAGGCTTGCAACCAGCGTGTCCTGCCTAGTTATCTGCTTTACAAACGGAGTATGGTGGGATCATTTAACAGTACCGGCTACACCAGCCGGCTAAAGGCGACGAATGGAAGGGCAATATCAAGACATCGTTGAGGAAGCAGAACTACATGCCGGTATGGCAGTTTGTGTCAGGAAGGACCTACAGAAAAACTGGGCTTGAAAAGAGGCTCGCTTATATCAATCTCCTTCACTACTAGTCGCTACAGGAGCTGCACGCCGTTGTGCCACCTGCAAACGCCATGAAGAAGGGGTGGTCGTGCGGCGGTGGTCTCGGCGTCTGCACTTTTTTTTTTTTTTTTTGCTTTTGTCAGGTATGCAATAGCACACTTTTGTTGGCATACATAAGCAACTACATGCATATATCTTTTAACCTCGCGCATGAGCAGCTTCGTGGAACGGGTCATGGCAGATAAAGTTTTACCGCTCGGAACTTTAAAGTCCCATCAAGAACCTTCGAAACGTGACTCACCCGTTGACTCACTGGATATTTTATTACAGACTTGACACAGCCGTTCATTTCTCTTCCATTCCAAAAACCCAGTCTCCCGTTGACAGACACGGTGACCTCGCTAGAACCAACGCAATACGCTCTTCATATGGAAGATTCCATGGATCCGTTCAATAAACTCTCGCCCGCGATCCTCAAGGAGATTCTGGTACGTCTCCCCAATCGGCAAGACGTCGTCTCCTTCAACCACGCATCCCCGGCATTATATCGCCAACACGCCATCCTTGAGGTGTTCGCTGAGAAATGTGACTCCAAGCACTATCTCTGCGACAGCTCCCTTGTCCAGGACGCAATGGCCGTCCTTCTTTTTCCAACATCCACGCCTACAATCCACCCGAGCGGCCGCATAACAGCAATCGATGCACACCTTCAGACGTGGGGAGCCAAGCGGTTTCCGGACCCGTTCCTCGCGGCGGACATTCCCACCATGAAAGCCCTCGACTCGCTGTACCAGAAGGTCTGCTTGTACGTCAAGGACTACCTCTCCAAAGCCACAAGCGGCTACCTCCCTTGGGCGTATCGCCGGCTGCCAGCCTGGTCACATCCCGACTTTGCCCAGGGGAGTAACCAGCGGCTCCTTCGGACGTCTCCGGAGCTGTGCAACGCCGACTTTGATACAGACGTTCTAACGCTTGACGAGCACCGGCGGATATTCAGGGCGTTTCTCCGATACGAGCTTCTATGCAAGATCTACGGGCCCATAAGCAGACGAGAGTGGGCAGCAGATTCCGAAGCATGCGATCTGACCTGTCTCAACAGCAACCGCACAAGCGACGCTTATGACGACCAAGACGGTGACGACGAACCCCACCACCGCCCAGGCTCCCGATTCCAACACTGGAACTGGGCGATCCTCTCCAGCTACGAAAACACCGCTCCCTTCCCCCCGGACCTCCAACTCCTCACCTGTGTGCGCGAGTACGTACTCACCCTCTACGGCGCCCTGATCGCCGGCGAAGTCCACGCCGACCTCCCCCGTCGCCTCGAAGGGTCTACGCGGTATCCGCACCTTGAATATGCCCCTGAGGTGGGCGAAGACGAGTTTCCCGACGACGGCATCGCTGCTGACTGGGACGACGCCGGAGAGCAGGGCTGGAGCCAGCCCCTCGTTTCGATCTTGGCGTGTGCTGGCTTCGATGTCCTGACCGGCGTTCTAGCGTCGGGCTCATCGCGTTTCCGGCGGTTGGTCCATGACCTGATGGTTGATGAGTATGGCCCTCGGCCGCTGACGGAGGACGATGAGTATGGCCATCAGCCGCTGACGGAGGACTCAGTTGTGGTCTTCTGGCACCGGAGTTCTAGGACCTCTGAGGACTGCTGCGGCGAGCTTATGCGCCTGTACAGGCAGCGCGCATGGGCGTTGTTTGATGATGACCGGCTGTATCCTGGTGGTTGGGGCTTGCCGACGGCTGATGAGTTTCGCGAGGCGTGCAGTGACCGGGGTTATTGCGCGGGGGGTGACTGGGATACTACCGATGCCGAACTTACTGATGGGGGGAAGCTTGTTGTCCACGGAGCTAAGTTCTACCCTTCTCTTGTTGCATGGCTGAGACCGTTTTGGAAGCAACATCCTTATGGATAGGGAATTGGATGACATGGAAAGTTGCCATCTTATGGAGGCAGAGGCGGGGTTTTGAGGGGATAGGAGGTATTACCGAGGGACGAGTAACTTTATCACAGACTGGATTGTCAATGTAAGTATATTGCAAACACTGGGCGCAGTAACCTTGTAACAACGTAATTCCTTGAATGCCACAGTTTGGCAGGCACGGGCAATTGAAAATTACGTTGTGTCTGCAAGTAATTATTAGTATTGTTGTTCTTATTGTTACTCCGACTGTGGGTATGCGGTGGAGTGTGGAAAAACAGTTCCCTCGGGGCAGATTAAAACCCGACCTCTCTTCCTGGATCCAATTTTGTGGCCGGGCTGTCCGCTAAAGCACCTGCCAACGGTTTCCTTCGGTGCTGTCCAGTGGGGGGTGCTCTGCACTTTTTTCCGCGGGCAGGAGCGTGACGGGATTGCGGGTCCTCGCTTCTTGATCCACCAATCAATCTTTGGTCGCAAGGTGCTTCGCTTGTGGGACTGCCGGGGTTTGTCGCGTCTATCGGATTGTCGCAGAGTGCCTATGTCATAATAGTCATGTTTGGGAAAGAGCGCAGCAATGTTACAGGAAGGTATGTTCTATGCCTCACGGTTATTTAAACCCCCGCAATCCCCCTCCAGCAGCTGTTCCTGTTTCTCCGCTAGATATTCTGCGTTTTTTTTTGGTTGGAGTCATCATCATTCGCCGCAGCTCAATTACCAGGCAAACGCATTTGTCACCACCAAAACATCGTGAATCGAATCTTCCGCTCCTGCCACTTGCATCTGATTCATGCTAATACCATCTCTCATAGAAACCACAATGGAGCCACTCAATGCCATCGAGGCCATCGTTGTCCCTGTCCTGCCGAGGATGGACAGCCACATTTACCGTGCCCGGCACCAACAGGCGGTTTCGGCTGCGAACACCCAGGACGGTCTGCCCAGTACCGGCCCCAGCTGGCGGTATGCCAAGTACAAAATTGCAACGAATAGGGTCATGAATGGGGCAAGGAAACTGCTGAAGTGGTTCACCAAGCACCAAATTGGCATTGGCGATGGTGCATAGATCGAACATTGCCAAGACGTCGAAAATACCCTCAAGACCGCCCTCTTCTTGAATTTTGACAAGGACCTCCTACGTAGCGCGCTGGATCGACATCCGATAAATCGCCGCATCTTGGCCAAGGCAATTCGAATCGCCGAGGAGACGGTTGTTTGGGCCCTGGAGTATGAAATCTCCAGCAAGTACACTGGCCCATGAGCTGACGTTCCTCCTGCAGGATGGCCAGAAGCAGGGCTTGGCTCCTTGAGAGGGAACCTTATTGGTACGACTCTCTGTACGGACGCAGGCAGCATGAACGCTACACCCGAGTAGCGAAACGACAAGTATACCATTAGGAAATGGTGGCAAGAACTCTTCGGAACGCCACGCCGATTAGACAGGGAAGATGCCCTCCAGTGGCTTTGGCAGACGCTCTGCCTGGAGAGTATGAGTACTAGTATATGTAACGACTTATAACTACGTAGAAGAGTAGGACTAGGGCAGTGGGTAACAAGCATATAATTAGAAGAAGGACATATAAGTTAGAAAGGAGGCAAATGGCTTGCAGGGGCTGGGGGGCTAGGGGGCTCTATAGTCTAGCACACATAATTATATCCCCTTTCTACTTTTGTGACTCAAACTTGACTTTGACTTCCATGCTCCATTTCTAAACAACAATGTTTGATACTCTAGCTTTAAAGCCTACGATGCTGCCCCTTAAACTAACTGTATCGAACCTAACCATGCCGTTTCCCTCACCGCTAGGTTTTCCCATACGGAGTTTCCTCATCAACATCGGCGTCGACCCAACCCTGGTATTCTACCTACTTGCCATGCTCAACAGCGCATCTATCTTCGGCGGCATCCTGCTATGCTTCCTAGCCGACTGCTTTGGCTGCCTTAACATGCTTGCTGCCGCCGGAGTCATTGCTAACTTCTCTACGCTAGTCTGGAAACCTCACAGTCTAGAGAAACACTTGACTGTGGTGGCCATGGACACCCTGTTTGCCTCCCTTCACGGCAACCCCGACACCAGCATATGGTATCCTCTGAGGACATCTCCCAACTCCGGTGGGAGTTGGAACTTTTGCTTGGCGATTAGATCCTTCGTGCCTTTCCTCGCGCTGGTGACGGCGAGCTTGTCGACTCGGATGGTGCATGTCTTACGGTTGTCGATCTTTGCTATCTTGTCCGAGAGTTTGCCAAGATGCTCTTGATGATGTTGTTGGTTGCTGAGAGATCTGCCCCGTGGACACCACCCCTTTGGCTGAGTTGTGGAGGGAGCCGTTGGCTGTGTGCTGTGTCATACAGTGATTCATCGTCGGGGTAGAATTTACTGCGGTTGAAGTACTCGTTGAGATAGGCTAGCACGCGAATGTAGGTAGGTTACAGGATACTGGCTATTGATCTACTGTTGCCACTGTTGATGGCTGTACTGGATGCAGCGGTCACGTCTCCCCTGATACCGCCATGGGTTTGCAGAGTAAGCCGCGCGGAGGTTGCATCGTCGAGATTCTAGATGTATAAGGCTAGGGGCCCCCCCTCGCTGCCCATTCCCATGCTAAGCAATCCCGTCGGGACGGAGACATAAGCCCGCCCGACGGAGCCAACTGGTCGTTTCGCAAGCCCGAGTCGGACCGGCAGGCAGGCGTCTGGCCTTACCGCGCTGCCACGCCGTTCGAGGAGCAGCCGGCACAGCAGATCTGAGTGGCCCTACCAGTACGCTCCCAGCCCCAGACCCGGGTCGTCGAGCAGGCGCTGCGTCAAGCACCCACCTCGCCCGTCGACAGCCCCGCCGCGCCCAGACGCAGGGCCGAGCCCACACCGCCGGCAGAAGAAGAGGAGGAGCTGTGCGAGACGTGCCTCTTCATGGCAATGTACGGCGCCGAAATCCCCGACCTCTGCCCGGGATGCCACCGTGACATCGTCGTTCCGCCCCGTCGGTGCCGCGTCTGCGGGTGGACTCCTCGGGCGCCGGGACCCGTTCGCCAGTCGGCACTGGTACCTGCTCGAGGGGTGCCACCATCTCCTGCTCGTCCGCCAGCGCCCCTTCGACAGCCGGCACTTCCTCGCCGGCCGGCACCAGTACCGCCACCAGCAGCATAGCCGCGACCCCGGTCCGTCATATCCAACGCCGGGACGGTCGTGCCGCAGGACAGCATCTCCAACCTCGGCATGCAGGGTTTGTCCCGGCGGGCTGGCGGGCAGGCCACAATCATCAGCAGCAGCTCTGACTCGGAGGATGATAGCCCGGATGAGGACTCGGACGATGGGACTGATGGGAGTGACGGCGACGACTCGGACGACGACGGCGGCGGTGGAAATGCCGGTGCCGGGGCCGGGACTGCTCCCCCGGGCAGAGGCGGCGGCACGAACCACAGCCCAAGCCGCAGACCCGGAACCGGAACCGGCCGCCCGGCAGCCCTCGACGTCTCAGCCATAGCCACGCTCCCCGCCTCCATGGCGCAGTACCGCACCCAGCACGTGGCGACCATCGGCCGCGTCGGCACTCTGGTCGCCTCCTGCTGGCCCAGAGACTTGCCGAATGCGTCTTCGGGCCCGAAGATGACGAAGGAATACCCGCCGTCCACGCGCGCGCGACGACGTTGCTGCGCAGGGAGCTGCGTGGTTTGTGTCGCATGGAGGACAATGCGGACAGGCGCGTGGCTGCGTCGCCGGTGTTTGGGCGGGCGGGGACTCTGGGGTGGGGGATGAGGACGGGGAGGTGGATTAGGGAGTGGACTGGTGTGCCGGGGGGGGATGAGGGGGCGGTGGGTGCTGGTGGGACGGCATGGGGGTTGGCGGAGAAGGTTGCGGGGGGAGTTGGAGGCGGGAGGGATTAAGTTAGTGTAGATTGGGACTGGTTGGTTCTGGATGGATGGGGTTGGGATTGACTGGATGCCGCTGTGGTTTTGGCATTGAGGATGCTGATATATCATGGAACGGCACGACTGGGAAAAGTGCAAGTTGAGATAATCCTTTGCTTAGTTCCCCATTTGAGATTGAAGGATGGTGATGCATTGAGGTTAATGATCAATTGACTGACGCCTAGGACGGTGTCTATCTGTAAGTAGCCTGCCCCACCGCAATCATGTGAAGTTTCTAAAGCGAAGTGCTGCATATGTGCTGTGCTGGCGGGGACGGCGATGGCAATTCAGCGACAATGCAACGCTATAAGTAATTATGTAATGCCGATACAGGGATACTAACAGCAGCAGCGACAGCAGCGGTGACTTGGAGTCGCAAAGTACTGGCACATAACCCCGCATTTGTTGTATCCGTCCTCCTCCAAACCACGCTGCCTTCCCAATCACCGCAACTTCATCAATTCGAGAATAAATGCGTGTTTTGGCCAAAAAAATCCGTAAATGCAAAAACTACCCACAGACTGCGAACGACCTGACCTTTTTGAGCGGGGCGCAATTGCGGCTTCCCAGCGACAGCGACGCCGACGCCGAGGTCACACACCTGGCAAAAAATCTGCCAGCCCAATCCATCTCCACCTGCTTGTGCTCTGCCCCTGCACACAGAAACGGTGCATGTCCTAAGTAAAGTGGGGTCAGGCCTAGCCCGGCGAATTGTGACCCACTCACTCCCTTTCGGAGGGGCCGTCAAATTTTTGATCCGTTTCAGGTGCATCGTGGCGGGGACTTTGACTTTGCGTGTGTATGCTAAATCATATAAGGTTAGGGTTAGACCTTGGCAGTTTCTGCGTTGGTTAGCTGGCTGTCGAACGGATTTCCAACTAGATTAGAGCAGCGCGAGGATTTTCCTGTCTGTCCTTAGGACAGCAAGCTTCCACAGTAGCACGTCGACGTTTCTACACATGGAACGCAGACCTGGCTACCGACATTGAATGTCCCGTTCCGTCTTGTGGACTAGAAACCATGCCGTTCGAGGTAATAAGACCTTTACCTTTGCAAGTATCTTGTCTTGAACATATCTTATCCCTCAAGATACACTAGCGGTGATCTCGACTTGGCTTGCAGGTCTACCGATGACGGGATGCTAGACAGATCATGGAGGGGAGGAGGGGCTGGGTACGGTCCCCATCCTGGTGAGGCATCAAGAAGGGTTTGGAGGCCTTGGACAGCATCGCGTACCAAGCAAGTCTCTCCTCACGATGGAAGGAGCTCGCTTTGCTTTTAAGTAAATAGCTTGCCGGAGTCGAGGATGGAGATGAGTCGGCTACCCCCGGCGATAAACCGGGTTGAGAACGCGAAGACGCGCTGGTACATTGATGCTGATGCAACCCCAGCACCGTCTATCGCGTCCCTTTTCTACCAGCATTGACCCAGGCCCCTCCTTCTTGAGCTGCGGTTGAGGTAGGTCTTGAAATCAGAGGTAAGCTTGCTGTGGATTTGAGGGGAGTATTAACGTCTCGCCTTTGCCTCCCAACAAATCTTAGCTTTCAACCCCTTTAAATTATAAACGGCTGAAATCGGATCAAGTAATGCTACCTGCTAAACTTGGCCATATCAAGAGGAAAAGAAAGAAACTAACAAGAAGTTCCCCTCACAGCCTGACCCACAAGCAGCCGATTTAGGAGCGGCTGGGATCACGGACTTGCGAATTGGAAGAAGAGTGGAGGAGGAGGGGAATGGGAAGTGGGAGTCGCAGTGACTAGGTTAGAAGGCATCCCAGCTAACACGGTAATTAGGAGCTAGCACTACTTCCATGCCAAGGTTGATGATGCTCACCACATCCCTCGCAGTCTCATTATCGATATCGCGTCCCCGAGTTGGTTGCCGCCGCCAAGGGGAGATCCTGGGCCAAGCCACCACGCAACCATGCCCAATAAATTAAGAGACACGGACTTTCCTTGTCCATTACCTGATGCCCTCCTCGTCATAATTACTTAATTGTCTGCCACTAAGAAAGGGCTTCCTTATGACCTTGCCGATATACCGTCAGGAACGACGCCTGGGATGTTGGTGTTGCCTACAACTCCAAGATAGGCAGTCTACGAAGCAACTTGTCCTTCTTGCGGGTTTTCCAATCCAGCCACCTGGTGCTAGCGTACCAACGCAAGACCACGTGCCGCATCTTCTAGCCTGCCACAACCTTGCAATGAACCCGCATGGGGTCTACGTCGTGGTGGAAGTTGGTGTCTTGTACGCTAAAGACAGATCGCGAGGGTAATTATTCATGGCCTGCTCAGAAGCCCTGGCCACATGAAACCTATTAGCAGACGCAGGGCTACCCTCGGCTGTCTACTGCGTTAGACACTAACATTCCCAACTAGATCGACCTTCTCTAACCACGCGGAAACATTGATGATGACCTGACAGGAGAACCTGGGTTGACTCGGCCGTGTGCTTGCCATTAACTCAAGATTGGACCGAGATACAACAGTGGCGTGGAATATTTTAAGTGTCCATTGCGATGCCTGAAGATCCGCAGCAGAGTGGCAGCCGCGGCTTTGTCAAGCCCAAAACAGGCTAGTAGCGTCTGTCAAGGGCTAGACCAGTTGTTACGTCTTCTCCAAGACCCTCTGCAACCTATACAACCTCACAGACAGTTCGCTTCCTACAATCGCACCGGGGAAAATATGAAAGAAAAAGGGAGGACTTAAAGAGGGTAGGTGATAGTGCCTGTTCCCAGTAATCGCTTGCGTGGAACAGCTACCTCTAGCCCTAGGCATCCTCCTGCTCCTCCAACATGTTGCCCAATGCTACAGAGATTCCTGATCGGCTCCAGCACCACGGGCAATATCTGTGAGGGTGAGGATAGCTTGCACAGCTTGCGTGCTACGCGTCCCGGCCGGCTCTGTCCGCCCTCACGCCGGCACCCTTCTTCTCGATCGCCAGCTTCCACTGCAAAAAGTGCCGTCTGTAATTGGTATTACTTGCCCCTGCTGCTCTCTGCCAGGCGACGCGTCGTTCCCCTCAGGCAGCGGCTTCCAAACCTCTAGTAAAGCACATTCCGTGTCGAAATTAGTATCGGCCCTGCCTTCCCGCCGGCTCTCCTCGACGTCGACGTCCCCGCCGCAGCAGCCCCGGCGCCGACTCCGAGTCTTCTGAGACGCCGTGCTTGGCCAAGTCGTCAGGGCCGTGGACTGGTTCCGCAGCGGCAGGGATGCGGCCCTTTCCCCCCTCCCCCCCATCCCCAACATAATGCGAATCACAGAGCCGGTTCGCAGCCGGAGCCGCAACCGGAGCCGAGGCTAGAGCCGCAACACCAACTACCATTGGACCACAAAACCGCCACCATCCGTGGTGGTTTGATTGGATGCTAACTCCTCAAACATGGCCTTAACTCCTCGTTTCCCATCCGTTCAGCCCCCTTATCCGTCATTAGAACTGCAGACATCTCTTCTTTATCCTGCCGAGGCCAGTGGAATTCGTGCTCGAAACAGCCTATGTTAATCGGGCTACTAGCCTAACTGTAAACACATAGTTACTGCTTCTCCAACGAAGCTAACAACAAGTATCTCTCCACTCTCAGTCACCACCCTCAAGGTCGTCCCCGTCTCAAAGCTAATACCTCCCCTGCCTCGGCATGTGCCCCAGCTTTACGTCAGCTCCACCGTCGTCAGCCTAGAAATCGACCTCCTTAGCAACCACCACGTTGTCGTCGCCAAGCTGTGCCGCTGCGCTGGTTGGAACCTGCGCCACAAGATAGTGGCTCGGGCTAGGTTCTCGATATCAAGCTGCGGAGGGTTGCCCCAGTCGCCACGTCATTACATAGGGAACCTCTAGTCTTAAGGATGCGAGATTCTCTGGCGGAGGAACCGTGTGAGGTCTAGATAATATCACTACAGGTGTGGATAGAAACTCTCATTATTGGAATGCCATAGGTCACAGTCTTAGTCTAGGCAACAGCAGTTGGCGACAGGCTGTTGGTGATGAAGAAGAGCAGCGCGGATCGGCAATCCCGCCTCCAAGCTGGGATCGCTGCGGAAGCGGAGGTGGATGACAAAGACATCGTAGTCTTTATGTTCCTCGTAGTTTAGTGTCCCGCCCCCCTCGGTTGTCAATGGCCAGCATGCTGCCGAGCCCTGCGTTTTCCTCAAGGTGCCCTGCTACCACCTGTACGTTAGGAATTATCAGGAACTATATCTAGTAATCATTGGAAGTACCGTCAGTATCGTCAGTATCGTCAGATAGAAAAGCTCGATAGAGAAACAGCTAATGGTGGTCAAGACTTAGGGTGAGGCACCATCTGCCGAGCTGCTATGCAACTTGTAGCATTGAGGCTCGCACAAGTAACCTCATACACTTACTGCTGTAGTTGAGGGTGTCCATAGCAGCCACGCACCGGTCCCCTTCCAATATCAGACCCCCGAGATCGAGACGCCGGGACCGCCCCCGTCACCACCGGCGTTGAGCCCTCACCTGCGCCCTAGGCACCGTCTTGAGCCTGTTCAAGCGCCGAAAAGTAATTAAGATTCACCACAGGTAGAAGTAGCAGCAGAAAGAGACGTTGCCATCTAAGAAGTCAAAGCCGGGGATCCCGAAGCGAGTCGCAGGCCATTGTTCAGCCTTCACGGGCTATTAGGATGGTTCTCGCCACCTTGATAATCGTGCAATTAGACACAGGCAGGTTAGCTAAAGCAGGGGAGGTTAGAAATAGTCTCCGACTTCATCCTCGAGACTAAGGGTATCGTCACATCTACACCTCCTGTATTCTGCAGTCAAATCTTAGTCAACTTCCTTCACATACCTCTTAATACTCTAGGGAAGTTTCGATCACCGAGACCCCTTTGCTAGGGCTCGTCGCAATGCTCGGGGATTTTGTGCGGAACAGCAGAGAGAACTGCCATGCGGCTCTACTTTGAGGAGTGGCTGGCTGCATTTGGCAAAGTGAGTAATTATTTCGTAGGGAGTATTTTGTAGAGAGTATCCTAGGCGAAGTATTCCGCAGGGGATATTCTAGAGCGCTGTCGAGTGACCCATGCAACCACCACCCCGCCGGTTTCTATTCCGCCAGCTGGCTACCTTGTCAACTCGGTGCTTTAGATCTGTGCCATCTCTAGTTGGGACTACCAAGCAACTCCTTGTATGGGCAACACGCTGGGCATGCCTGATGTTGGCTTAGGCGGTACTCCTCCCAAAGCCGGTACGTCCCAGCCTTACAAAGCGTTCAAGGCAGATGAAGGTCACTACGCCGTGGCCTTCATTCCTGACACGTCGCAGGATTATAGTGGGCTTAGTTCTTAGATTCGATGATCTGCCCTAATGCTAGGGCAGATCGTCACCTTGCCGCGCGGCTACTTTCGCACTACTGCCTCCTCTGGAGACTGCGACTGCCAGACAATGGACGATTTTGCGCCGGCGGGCTTCTACAGACCTACACTGAGCCTACTGGCATATGTATCAAGGAGAGCTAGACTTAATCTAGGCAGCAACTCCATACCCGATATACCTTTTTAAGCCCATCAAATACAGATCTGATGGAACGTACCTTTTTGGCAGAGACATAAAGGATACGTTGAAACGTCTTCGGGCCTTGTCTTAGCGATTTCTTATCAGAAACCATCTTTGCCACGCTCTACAGAGAGCCTAACCGCTGTCAAGCCCTCGCGCCACGACGCACACGCCGTTTTTGACGCACGATTACAGAGCAGGAGCGAAGTGTTAACAAAGTGAAGTGCTCCAAGCAGGAGATGCACCTCAGCGTAGCCTGGCTAGCCGCCGAGACTACATCTATCATCTACCAGGACTATTCTAAACGCCTGTGCAAGACAAGAACCTGCAATAACTATGATTTGTAACGCCTGTATGTCAAAGGTGACTCTTGCTTCCTCCCTCAAGGATAAGTATATACATACATACGCACTTAACCAGGGAAATCCAAGCACCACAAGCTGCCACGCCAAAGTAATCCAGTCCAGCTGCAGCGTAGATATGTTTGCGCGGCATGTGCCGGGCAGCTCGTGCTCGCGCCCCGTCGCAGACCAAGCCCCGGTACGGCGCCGACTGTGGGGCCGGGTGCCGGCAGCCCCACCTGGCGCGGCGGCTCGCGCCCGGCATCTGGCACATTGCCGATGCTATGCACGGCGACTGGGTTAATTTCATCGTCTTGAGGGATGGCGACAATCAAACCGCAGTGCCGTCACGCTATTGTCGTTGACGAGATCCTTGCCGCACTTCGTCGGTGATCACGGGCTGGGCACCGCGAAGGGTGAGGGGATGGCTATAGTGAGATGCCTACGTCCGGAAACGGTCGCAGGCGTTGGGACAGCCTCTTAAAAGGCTGGCTTTTTGTCAAGCCATCTCTTTTCACTGTATTCCAGCGGTTTAGTCCGGGTTCCGTGGTACGCGTTTTGCATTTTCTAAATTCTATAATATTTTAGAGTATAGATTTTTTTCGATTTATTTTCTAAAATCATTTAAAATTTAGACAAAATGCAACCACTGTCGCATTAAAGTTCCTAGGGGCCTCGAGGGTGTATTCCGCAAGTAACCTGACATCTCTAGCCTCACTGCTATCACCGTTGTAACGGTTCGAGCCGATGTGAGAGACAACCCAGATCTCATACTGTGGTTTCCCAACAAAGGCCTGTCAGTGCTTCTTCCAGTCGTCTACCTAAACTAGTAACCTAGTAATAACCAGCAGTATTAGTGCAAATCATAGTAGACAGTCAGGAGGCCATAAGCCTGCTCGATTATGTCAAGTTTGCCCCAATTTCGTCGCGACATTCATGCTGTCCCCCATAACAGCTTATGCCCTCCCAGTTCCAAAAGATCTAGTCAGGTCGTCGTCAAACTCAAGATACTCGGAAATAAAGGTAGTATCATTCTACCCCCATCACAGATAGATCAAGCAAAAGAAGAGACGCCGAAATTGGATATTTTGGAAGAAAATTGAAAGCCTTAATGTCTTAGCAGAAAACTCCCTCGGAACAGCAAACATCAGGGGCACGCCGCTGTTTGCCTCCTGCCTCGCGCGCAGACAGCCCCAGTCCCAGTCCACGCCGGCAGGTGCCTTCTGCCGCGGGGCCGGACCTAAACTTGCTTAGTCACCGATGAAAATGGCAATATGGCAATATAAACGGCTCTCATCCCACGGCTGTACCTCGAACCAGAGATCCAGAATCAGCCACCACAGGTACCCGGAGAAGGAATCACGGCCATGACATCCGAGACGACCATTTGTTCCGGCCCAGGTCCAGCCGGGGGTGCATCCTGCCTAACCCCGTGGTTCAATGTGTCAAACATGCGTTATGCTAGAAACGCACCTGCTCGTTGCCGTCCATCGTAGGATTGTGGCATTTGTCGCCGAAAAGCCAAACCTTTAAGAACACCATGACCCCAAATCGGTGAGACCATCGGATAGGCCGGCTCTGCGCCCGGCGACGTGTTCGCGTTGTTCTCTGACTTGTACAGTAGTACATCATTAGGCTAGCCCTGGCGCCCAAGGTCACGCATCCAGAGAGAGCGCGGCTACTCAGGTGAGGATAGCGCTAAAGTAGGGTGGCGACTAGGCAGGCGTCACTTCCGCCCCGGGTGCGGAAGATTGTGTCATTCTAGCTGGAAGTAAACAGCCAGATACTGGGCTTTGTAAGTCTTGCTTTCTCCCTACTTTTCTTTCTTTAACCCATGACTTGGTTGGATTTGTTGATATTTTAGGCCATATGCCTGGGCAACCGAGGGAGCTGCATGTAAATCTGTTTCTTTACAATTGCTTTCCAGTGTGTTTTCTATCTAGTGGTCCGTCCTGCTGAGAATCCGGCTATTGGTGCCATATCCTCTGCCAAAGCCACAGCCACAGTCACGCAAGGAATTTCCAAGACTGTCAACAGCAATGGCAAAAGTAATCAGCAGGCATAGAGCCTAGGCAGAGACTAGCAGCTAGAGCCTGAGAAAGCCACAGGAGGCGCTGGTCCTCAAGACTTGAAAAGCGTCGTAGTCGAGGGGTTGGTGCACAACGGCATCAGCTGCATCTGGGAGTCTAAGGCGGTGTTGATGGCCTTGTCTTTTGCAACGACGGCAGCTGGAGTCACCTCCTTGGTGGGTGGCCTAGTGCATACTGAGATGTCGAGGGATGCGGAAGCTAATATTTTAAACCCTAATCTCCCGTTGAACTGAGTCCCTTGTTAGTGGGGTTCTTCCCCTGATCTGGAGTTTTATTTAAGCTTTTGGCTTGACCCTAGATGTGAGCCTCATTGTCACGAGAGCCCTTCTGTCGATGGTTCTCTTCGACTCTTGTGATAGTTCTCTTGCGATGGTGGTTCTCTTGTGATGGACGGGGCTTATGTGTTAGGCTGAAACGCCAGAATTGAAAGTTAGGAGCCGTACTAATATCCTGCGGGCTTGATTTACCGGATATGGGGTTTGAGGTACCTGTGCTGCGAGAGAAGGAAAGGGACCAAAAACAATAGAGATATGGGGATGCAGGAGTGTGAGGATAGGGGAAAGAATAGCAGGCTTGGTAATCCTTGGGATGGGATGTAGAACCTGCTTGGTAGCGTGGTACTATTGTTGTGCATCTACTACATGATGCATCAGCGGCTAGTGTTTAAGGACTCTTAACCTGATTTCGGACCCCTAGATGTCTCCAATTACAAGACAAGCGGATGGGAGTTACGGGAGGGGATGTGAGGGGAAGGGACTGAGTGCTGATCGAGGTGCTCCTAGTGCCCACCCTCCAAGATTCCGCGAGACTTGAGAACTTAGCCTCTCTTTAATGTTCTACTTTGTTGGTCTTATCAATTGCAGCCGCTGTGACAGGACAGGTTCAAAGCTGATCGGCCAGCTGCATTTGGAAACCCTATTTCAACGGGGGGCAACGAGATATTCCACCACCAACCCGTATCGATACCGATGAGAGAGAATAGGCTCGGCTCAGCAGCGGTCGCGCCTCGCACCAAGCAAAGCAGCTTCGACTGTTTGAGCACGCGAGCCATTCGCGACTGACAAACTCCCCCGAGCTGTCACGACTGCTGGTGAAGTTGTAGTCAGGCTGCATGGGGTGGTGGTGCGGGGCTCCTCCACTTTTGACCTTCGAATGCGTCCTCATTGGAGCGCGTGGACGTGCGCAGGGGAAACCCCTGCGGTTTCACCTAGTGGGTAATTAAGCTATACGTCGTATCTGCCGGTTTAACCGGCTGCCGTCTGGTGATAGGTACGGCAAATGGAATTGGGGATATCCATGTTCGGGTCATCTCCTGCCGACGCAATTGCCGGGATTAGTGTAGGGCGTTCTGCGGGTTCTGTGCCTAAATGGTGCGGGGGCCGTTGCGGGGGAGAAGAGCCGCGCCTATCAAGTAGCCCAAGTTGCACTAATCCCCGGACGGGTAGCTTTAGGATCCACATCCTAGCTAGGTAGATCGTGTTTGGCTCGCACTAGCGGAGTAGGGACTCGAATTAGGCAGGTGATACGACGTGAGGCAAGCTTTAATAACAGGTTGCGCAGTACCACCCAGCACTCTTCCATTGCCTCTGTTTCTCCTCCTTTGCTCCCTCCCCGTACACCTACCAAGCAGGCCAACACCTCCGACCTCCGAGGTCGTCAAACAACATGGCTAACCCCGTCGACTCAAAGTCGACCGGCGGCGACCTCGCAGAGATTGAGGCGCATCACGCCGACGTCGACCGTAGCGCCGACCTCGACGAGAAGGCGAAGCCCGCCGCATACAAGGCAGATGCCATCGAGGCAGAGAACGCGGAGCATGACATGGGGGTGCTGGAGGCCGTTAAACTCTACCCGATGGCCACCTTCTGGGCCTTCATCATGTCCTCAACGATTGTAAGCTATCTGGCCTTCATCCGCCCCCTTCACCCCCTCTAAGGAGTCGCAGCTAACAACCATAGTCAGATTATGGAGTCCTACTGTGTCTTCCTCATGGGCGCTTTCGTCGCCATGGATCAATTCAAGCAAGAGTACGGCGTCAAAGATAAAGATGGCAACTGGCAAATTGTCGCATCGTGGCAGTCTGCGCTCCAGATGGGCGGCCCTCTCGGTGCCATCATTGGCGTCTGCCTCGCCGGGCCCCTCACCAACCGCATCGGATACCGCTGGGCCACCGTCCTGGGCCTCATGTTGCTGAACGCCTTCATCTTCGTCTTCTACTTTGCCAAATCGCTGGCCGTCATGTTCGTCAGTCAGCTTCTGGAAGGCGTGCCGTGGGGCATCTTCATCGCCAACGCACCAGCTTACTGCAGCGAGATCGTGCCGATCAAACTGAGAGCCCCTGCTACTCAGATGCTGCAGATGTTCTGGGCCGTTGGCGCTATCATTGTGGGTGGCGTCTGCTACGTATACGAGAGCAAGAACGACGCCTCTGCGTACAGGTTCGTACCTTCGTAACCCTTTTCGCCGTGACAAGCAAGTCCCCTCTGTTGACAAGACGCAAAAACCCACCAGGGTTCCCATTGCGCTCCAATGGATGTTCCCCACCCCCCTCGCGATCCTCCTCTATCTGGCTCCCGAGTCGCCTTGGTGGCTGGTTCGGAAGGGACGTCTGGAGGAGGCTGCAGTTTCGGTTCGACGCCTTGGGCGCGCGTCGGTGCTCACGAACCTTGACGAGTCGGTCGCCATGATGCGCCGTACTATTGAGCTCGAGAAGACGGAAAAGGAGCCCAGCTACCTGGAGCTGTTCAGGGGCACTGACACGTACCGCACCCTCATTGTGTGTGGTGTGTACGCGGCCCAGAATCTCACGGGTAACCTTATCGCCAACCAGGCCGTCTACTTCTTCAGACGTGAGTTGTTTGTTCTCTTCATTTGCCACAATTTGGGTGCCCGTAGGCTAACGCAAGAGTAGAGGCCGGCATCGACTCGAACCTTGCCTTCGCCCTCGGTCTCATCACCTCGGCCCTACAAACCATTTTCGTCATGCTCTCCTGGATTCTTACCACATATCTCGGCCGACGAACCATCTACGTCTGGGGTTCGTTGATCAACGTCTGCTTCCTGGTCGCTCTCGGCATTGCAGGCTCCGTCGGCAAGTCCACCGCGGCCACCCTGGCGCAGGCGTCCTTGGGTCTCATCGTCTCGGTCGGTTTCACCCTGGGACCGGCGCCCGCCTCGTGGGTCATCATCGCAGAGACGTCGGCCATTCGCCTCCGGCCCCTGACGACTGGCATCGGACGCGCGGCTTACTATGTTGTGAATATTCCGTGCATCTTCCTCGCAACTTACATGCTCAACCCGACGGTATGATTGTTCTTTCCTCCTTCCGACGTGACAAAGACAAAATTCGCTGACGATCAAAATGATAATAGGGCGTGGATCTCGGCGGCAAGTGCGGCTACGTCTGGGGTGCCACTGGGTTCGTCTGCTTCGCCGTGTCGTACTTGTACTTGCCGGAGATGAAGGGTCGGTCCTTTCGCGAGATCGACATCCTGTTCAAGCGTCATGTCCCGGCTCGCCAGTGGAAGAAGACGGTTGTCGACATCAACGACGACGAGTAGGGCATGTGGTTATGAGACAATATCCACTAGGCACATATAAAAATTAGCATGGTTTAGTGCTGGAATGTTGTTATCTATGAGGGCGAAGCAGAGGTTAGATATTGGCCCAATATATCATTTTAGTTTCATAATGGGGACTCCATTGTCAACGCTGCGCCAATCCTGCGCCAATAGCATGTGTAATTAGCTCTAGGCGCTGGTGCACTTTCTCTGGGCGTGTTAGAGAGAAGGGTGTGAATCATTGGAGCTTTGTCATATGGATTTCTGCGTACTTTAGTACACAAATGCCTTTGCTTGCCTTTGCTTGGCGCGGCGGGCTAGCTTGGCGTGTCGGGTGTGCAGGTCTCTGTCCGCCGCGTCGGGACCCCCGGGGGGGGGGGGGGGGGGGGGGGGCGGGCCGGGCCCGGCGCCGGGCCCCGGGTTTAACAACCGGGGCCCATTTTTGGCCCCCCCAAAGCCCCGGGGGGTGGCCCCACACCCCCAAACGTGGGGGGTG